GTGCTGTGTTGTCATGGCTCACTGCAACCCCAAACTCTTGGACCTAAGTGATTCTCTTGCCTCAGCCTCCCAAGCAGCTGGGACTACAGGTGTCCACCACAATGCCTGACTATTCTTCAGTTGTAGTTGTCATTGTTGTTTGGCAGGCCTGGGCTGGATTCAAACCTGCCAGCTCCAGTGTATGTGGCTGGCACCCTAAACACTGAACTACAGGCACCGAGCCTCTTTCACTTTTTTTAAGTGATGATTTCACTTAGCTTCTAGTAGTTTTGTACCAACTGCTATTCTTTTCCTTTCCCATGCAGACGAGCTCTGAGGTATTCTGGGGGTGGGAGTGAGTGAGCAGGTAAAGCGGTGAGATAGGATGACATGTTCCATAGGCAGAACATGTTGTTTGCCTTATAATTTTGTATAGAGTATTTTGTATTTTGTATAGAGTATTTCTGCTTAAAAGAAGCTTCATGAATATTTTAAATAGATAAATAGTGAAGAAATAATAGAATTGCGTAACCTTTCTATGAAATATGTGTATGTCATAATTATCTTAGGCTCAGGTTACTTATTAATAAACTGTGCATAACTCACAGCCTATCCTTTTCTTTACATCTTTCTTTAATTCTTGTGAGTTAAGAATCTTTCCAGATATTATTACATATAGGTATCCAGGTTGCAATCAGAATCCTAGGGCTCAGAGTGAACAGAATTAGGTATGCAGACTCCTTTACAGAATTCCACATTTCCCAGCTTCTTTCTGAATAAAGGTGTTCCATCCCTGACTTACACACAGGCCCTCTCTTACAAGCCTGATACCCAGAGATAATGAAGGCAGGATGAAACTGGATTTATGTACAAAATGAAAAGCACTAAAAACTTACTTAACTTCTTTGTAATCTGTTAATGTGTGTGTAAGATACAAAGTATTTGTTTTCAATGTCTCAGTTATTCTGCCTCTTAGAAATTATCCTCGGAAAACAACAAAAAATATTTTGATGAACATTTTAGAAAAAAAAACTTCATGTTGAAAACAAAGCAACAGTTTAGGAAACTATGATACATCTACTTAAAGGGATACTATGTATTTCTTAGGTATAATAAGAATAAAAGCAGTGAAAAACCATAAAGTTGTAAAAGATAAAATATTCAAGATCATTTTCCCTCATAAATATCACAGCATTCCAATGTTTATGTATTTGGCATCAAACTAATTTTGTAAAGTATCTCCAAAAGCAATAAAGATTCCAACATTAAGATTACTACTGATTTTAAACTGCTTTTTTTATATGTAAAATACCCTGTCAAGTTATTGCATTACTCTCAGATTCAAATATACCTTTTTTATGAACAAAAGTTATGTGCCTAAAGTTAAATACATGTGTATATGAAAACATTCTTTGATTATAGGTGAAGAAACCTGTCGTAAACTTAAGTTGCACTAAAAAAGACCTGAATTTAACCTGAGAAAGAACTTCTTGGGCACCAAGATGATAAAATATTGGTGCATATTACTCAGGGAAAATTTAGAGCTACTCTAGGAATCTTAAGAAATAGGTTAAAAACTGATTTTTTTCTACCATTCTGTGGTAACTTTTGCAATTCTGGTTGGAGAGAAGAGAATAATATAATCCCTTCTCAATATCAGTTCTGAGTCAGCAATTCTATTACTTAAGCTTTTTTTCATTGCTGTTTCTTTCACAGAAGCAGTTTAGTCCCTAAGTCATAATGGGTTTTTATGGATACCACCTGTACCCCTGGTGGGAAGAGGCCCTCCAGGCAGCCAGGTGCTCCAGGCCATCACTGGGCAAGGTGACTGTGCCTGATTGCCCTGCTTCTGGCCCCCACACCCACCTTCCACACTATGTTCTTCCCTCCCACTGCACCCCAGGAAGCCTCGCCTGGGCTTTGATCTCTGACTCAGCCATGGTCCAGAACTTCCCTGTTACCATGAATACCACATCTCTCTTTTTAAATGAAAATGTGTAACTGACATTTCATTTTTGTTGAACACCTTTTTTTTTTTTTTTGAGACTGAGTTTCAAGCTGTCACCCTCAGCAGAGTGCTGTGGCGAGACAGCTCACAGCAACCTCAAACTCTTGGGCTTAAGCAATTCTCTTGCCTCAGCCTCCCAAGTAGCTGGGACTACAGTGCCCGACACAACGCCTGGCTATTCTTTTGGTTGTAGTTATCATTGTTGTTTGGCAGGCCCAAGCTAGATTCGAACCCGCCAGCTCTGGGGTATGTGGCCAGTACCCTAGCTGCTTGAGCTACAGGCACCAAGCCAGGTGGACACCATTTTCATCACTAAGAGTAGAATTTCATTGTCAAATTGGCAACTCTGTCTAACCAACTAAAGATTTACCAAAGTCACCACAGTAGCTGTACCAGTTTGCATGTTCACCAGCAATTTCTCCATGTCCTCACCAACATTTGCTATTTCCAGTTTTTGTTGTGTTTTTTTGTTGTTGTTGTTATGGCTACCCTACTTTATACAAATTGATAGCTTACTGTGGTCTTGACTAATGACATTGAGCATCTTTTCAAGGGCTTCTTGGGCATTTTTATTTTCTTCTTTGGAAAAATATCTATTTAAGTCCTTTGCCCATTTGAAAATTGAGTTGTCTTTTTATTTTTGGATTTTATCAAGGTTTTTTGTTTTTGTTCTTATTTTTAGAGATAGCATTGCACTATGTTACCCAAGCTAGAGTGCAATGGCATCATCATAGTTCACTGTAAACTCAAACTTTCAGCTGAAGTGATTCTCCTATCTTAGCCTCCTGAGTAGCAGGGACTATAGGTGCAAGCCATTGTGCCCAGCTAATTTTTCTATTTTCTGTAGAGATGGGGTCTTGCTATGTTGTCTAGGTTGGTCTCAGATTCCTGGTCCCAAGTGACCCTACCTCCTTGGTTGCCCAAAGTGGGCACATATAAGCTACTATGCCTGGCCAAAGTATTTTTTAATATATAAAAAAGTTGCTACTAATATTATGTACATTGGAATAATTATCTTATGGCTTGAAACAAACCGAGCTTTAGTTTCTTTCAGCCCTGCAATTACATAAACCTTTGAACCTATGACCATAGAATAATGAATCAATAAGCTGGATTATCTAGTTTTTCTTCTTTTGAATGATATGCCTGATTCTTCAGGATTATTTATAAAATTCTTCCTTGTGGATTGCTTTCTGTATCTGAGACTTGGAAATAAATTCACATCTAAAGGAGAAAGTGTGTGATAAAATGCAACACTAGTTATATGTCCTCCAAATGAGTTGATTTTCCAACAGAGCATATTCAGTTTCAAAACTATACTGAAAATTTCTAAACTATAATTTCACAGCTGTTTTTTTAGTGGCTGTACTACTAAAAAATATATACAATCAAGTTTTGCCTTAAAACATTTCTTAATTAAGATACAGTATAGGCTCAGCACCCGTAGCACAGTGGTTATGATGCCAGCCACGTACACCAAGGTGGCGGGTTTGAACCCGGCCAGAGACCAGCTAAACAAATGCAACAAAAAAATAGCCAGGCAAGAAGGCTGAGGCTGAGGCAAGAAAATTACTTAAGCCCAAGAGTTTGAGGTTGCTGTGAGCTGTCTCGCCACAGCACTCTGCTGAGGGTGAGATAGTGACATAGTGAGAGACTGTCTCAAAAAAAAAAAAAAAAAGAAAGAAAGAAAGAAAAAGATACAGTATAAATAGAAAGAATGAATGTAATATATAAAACATGCATTTTGTTATCTCAGCTACAATTCACCTTTAAAAGGTGACTTTTAAAAAATGACTTATACATTTATCTACATACACAGTCTAGTGTTTTTTAACAAACAGTAATTCTTGTTTTTAAAATACACTTTGCTGTGCACAGGATACATTCAGAATTATAGTTATTTGTTGGAATCCTTGAACTTAGAGTGATATCTTAGTATGGAAGTCAACTTTCCTAAGGTTCACATAAAATTACATGTTTCTTTTTTAAGATGGCAGATTTCAGAAATATCTTCAGAACAAATTCTCCACAGAGAAAGAATCTCACGTTTTAACAGACTTATTATTCACTGAGGTTGATCCTCCTGCCTGAGTGCATATCTTCATATCTATTTCACAATTACTTAGTTCATGGCATGTGGGGCAGCCTGTCATGACCAACCAGACAGTATCCCCTAAAGCCCTATTTTTAAAAGTGTTTTTACTAGTCTGTGAGTCAAGTTTGTGAGTCAACATACCCTTTGTGAGGGCCAGTGCCTAAGCTCAATCTTTCCAGACCTGGAAATTTGGGAATGAACTCGTGGCCCTCACCTCTTTGGACACTCAGACTGTTCTCTCAAACAAAAGGTCTAGAGATATGGTTTAATGTCTCTTTTTCAAAATCCATTTTATAGGTAAGCTCATGGTCAAAAATATTGTTATGCTAGACTGTTAACAAGGTGGAAGACAGCTTACAGGAAACACGATGAGGCTGCTATAAAGAATGAGAAAGTTCTCCAGGTTCTCCAGAAAACACTCATGAGTCTTTCCAAGATACACCATATTAAAGAGGCAGAATAACATGTAAACTGCCATCATTTATATAAAATGGGCGTTTTGATTCATATATGCTCCTCTACTCATAGAAAACCTCTGGAAAAATTAATAAGCATCTAACAGCAATTGTCATGTAGACCTAGGGGACAAGATGGGAAGAAGACTTGCCTTTTATTTCCCCTTTGTATTAAGAGAAATTTAAAAGAAATAAATCTACATGACCCAGGGATTAAAATCAAGTAGGGGCAGAAGGCACAACTATATCAGCTGTGTGTTTTCACATCACCCATTAGACAATCCTTGTCTCTGCAGACTTTGCCCTAATGCTCCCCTCCTTATGGAGATGAGCCCCACGTCGCCCACTATCAGGAGGTCTGTTCTGCCCCAGCAAGCACGGTGCAATACAGAACATGGCCCTGTGGTCCTGGGAGCTCCCTGCATCCCCCACTAGACTGCCACCTCCTCAAAGGAGGCAGGTTCTTTCAAAGGAGAGAAGAATCTGCCCTTTTCCCCTCAAATAGGCAACATCCTGGCCATTAAGCAATAAATAGATTCATTATACCAAAATTTTTGAATAATGTAATGTGTTGTATCTGGGGGTTTTCCACTCAACATGATTTCGTAAGGCTTATCTATGTTGCTATAGGTATCTGCATTGTTGTTGTTGTCTTTCTAGTTTTGTTACTTTGTGGACACACATTACTTGCTTTATTACTATCACAACATACTGTATGTTCTGTTGCCTGTCATGAGTGATGTTATGATGAACATTCTTGCCGTGTCTCTTTGTGCACACGGACCTGTATTTCTGTAGGGTAGACTCCTGGGACTGCTTTGCTGTTTCATGACTGTGAATCTGCTCAACCATGGTGGATTCTCCCTCGAAGGCAGGGAGCATGACTTCACACAACTATTCCTCCATCCCATGCCTGCTGCTCGGCACTGCTTCTCTTTCGTCTTCAGTCACCGTATTTGAAGTTATTGGCCAATCCTTACTTCTCTGAACACCAACAAGGCTGTCTATTTTTAGGCAGAAAGGGAAGAGTAGTCAGTACATTCTGCCCACAGCCTTACTCATTAGAGCAGATAAATATGCTCATTTCTGATCAGTCTTCTCAAAAAACCTATAAATTGTTCTGTTTTATGCCTTTTTCCACCCCACTTCATTCCATCATTCACCGTATCTACATTCCCGCACAGGAGGACAGAGAGGTCCGGGGAACCTAGAAATATGAAGGCCCTCTTTCTTTTTGCTGTTCTCTTCTGTTTGGTCCAAACTAACTCAGGTAAACGTTGCTTGCTTAGCCCTTGGGAGGGTAGTGCAAGGACCCCGCTCACATGTGAGTGTGAGTATGACGGTGTCTGTGTGCTGTCAGCAGGTGCAGGTGAGCTGCTTTGGCGCTCAACCTTGGGCCATTTTGACCTCACCTGTAAGGAGTTTGTAAAAGCTAAATAAGAGCTTTATGAGTCATAATATGAGTCAAAGCGGTATCTGGAAATAAATCAGAAGCATTCCCCGCAATTTGCAACCTGAAAAAAGTTTCCAGAAGAAAAATATAGTCATAAAAATGTCAGAACCAGAAGGGAATTGGAAATCTTCCATGGCAGCCCCACACTCCACAGAGAGAAAATCAAAATGCAAAGAAAGTGAAGGCCGGGGGTGGTGGCTCCCACCTGTAATCCCAGCACTCTGAGAGGTGGATTGCCTGAGCTCATGAGTTTGAAACCAGCCTAAGCCAGAGCGAGATCCCCATCTCTAAAATTAGCCAAGTGTTGTGGCAGGTGCCTATAGTCCCAGGTACTTGGGAGGCTGAGGCAAGAGCATCACTTGAGCCCAAGAGTTTGAGGTTGCTGTGATCTGTGATGTCACAGCACTCTACTGAGGGCAACATAGTGAGACTCTGTCTAAAAGAAAACAACAACAAAGTGCAGATAAAGTCTTCATTTACTGCTAAGCAATGGATAGTTATGGTCATAGTAAATCTTCACACTGATAATATTTCAGGCTTACACAGATAACCAGTTTCACAGACAAGAAAACTGGAGTGTAACCAGTGAAGTGAGTTGTCTAAGGAGAGATGAGAGAATCCAGATCTCCAAACTCCAAAGGCAGCTCCTCTATCTTTACTAAAGTAAAAGTAGGCTTGGTTCCCATAGCATAGTGGTTAACGGCTGTTGTATCCATAGGGGACATACACCAAGGGTGGCCGGTTCAAACCCAGCCAGGGCCAGCTAAACCACAATGACAACTATAACAAAAAAATATGGACATTGTGGTAGGTGCCTGTAGTCTCAGCTACTTGGGAGGTTGAGGCAAGAGAATCACTTAAGCCCAAGAGTTGAGGTTGTTGTGAGCTGTGACGCCATGGCACTCTACCGAGGGTGACATAGTAAGACTCTATCTCAAAAAAAAAAATTAAAAAAGGAAATTAAGTAGGGTAGCACCTATGGCTCAGTGGGTAGAGTGCCAGCCCCATATACCAAGGGTGGTGGGTTCAAACCCTGCCCCAGCCAAACTGCAACAACAACAAAAAATAATAAAGTAAAGGTAAACCTACCTCTTCACCCTGCTACCCACTCCAAACCACAGCAGGGGTGAAATGACACAGGATCAAAGAGTGGGCCCCATTTGGAGCTGGTCTATGGTGCAAGACTTCTTATAATCATGCAAGACTAACAGTGTATTGTTGGTTTTGAAGTCGTGATATATGACATTTGCAGACCTAAAGTAAGTAAGACCTTTTGTTCAAACATCTGTTGCCTGAAGTGCTTTCCTTATGGGAACTTTGCATAACTGTGGTCATATTTGATTTATAAGCACACAAGTCCTGGTAGGGTGAGGGCTTTATTTTCTCCTTTTCACCATAAGGCATAAAATTAAAAATTGTGCCATAAGCTGAGAATCAGAACCAATTCTGATTTTCCATTTCTGACTTACCAAGACCTACCACCCACCTACCCCCAACATTCTGGTTTCCAAAGCTCCCTTTGCTTTTCCTTAATGCACATCTCTCACCAGGAAACTTGAGTATCCTGGAGTAAGAGGATCCTCCAGGAGATCCTGGCACAGGCCAGGAGCGCTCCAGTGTAGGACACCATCTGATCCTCCTGGTAAAGTTTGAGATAAACTATTGTTTTTCATTTAAAACTGAGCAAAAGCTCAGTTAAATCAAGACTTGTCCCAAAATACTTAGCTTTGTAAGAACATAATAGACAAAGGAGTTGGGCTGTAGGTTTGGGTTGTTCTTTATTTTTTGCACTGTATGAATTAAAGATCAACTCTGTTCTATTGTATCCATAGGGGACATTCCACCTGGAATTAGAAATACTATCTGCCTTATGCAACATGGGAACTGCAGGCTATTTTTTTGCCATTATGGCGAGAAAAAAGGTGACATTTGCTCCGATCCTTGGAATAGGTGTTGCATACCAAATAAAGAGGAAAGAGAAAACAGAAAAGCTACAAAATGACAGCAGATCTGGGATCTAAAATGTAAGCTCCTGGAAGGCAGAGATTTTGGAGTATTTCGAGGGCTGGCTTAAGGAAATGTGTGGCTTATACTGGGTGCTCAATAAATATTTGTTGAATGAATTTAGCCCCAAAGGTAAAGGTCTGATGAAAGAATTTTCTTAAAAGCCTCTTTATCTTGCCATTTTCTGGGGCTTTTTGAGGTTTCTCATAATTTTGTAACATTCTACTATTTTTTTTTTCCTATTTCAGGGAGTATCTCTTACCTGTCCAGAGTTGGTGATAGGCTTGAAATCAGGCTCTACACTTAGTTTCAGAGGGACAGAACTGCAATCAATCTTCAAGTATCTTTTTCACCTAGTGACATATTTCTTGTCAAACCCACATAAGCCTTCTCCTGCTTATTCATCCAGATTGTGACGAATCTCATCCCTTTTCCATAGCCTCCTCAAGAAATATTACCAATAGTTCACCATTTTGATAGGATTTTATTGTTTTTAAACATTTGCTCTTAGATTATCTCAACTAATTTATAAATAACGCAATCATATAAAGTAAGTAATAATGTGTAAAGCTAGTAAAATGAAATAAACAGTTCCATTATGGCAGTGGCTCTCAACCTTCCTAATGCTGTGACCCTTTAATATAGTTCCTCATGTTGTGGTGACCCCCAATCATAAAATTATTTTTGTTGCTACTTCATAACTGTAATTTTGCTACTGTTATGAATTGTAATGTAAAAATCTGATATGCAGGATGTATTTTCATTGTTACAAGGGGGTCACGACCCAAAGGTTGAGAACCACTGTATTATAAGGATGGAAAAAAAATGAAAAGCAAAAGGTTAAGCACACTGCCCTCAGGTTAGCAATTCATCACTGGGATTCTTGGCATATGCCTAATCAATCAAGTGTTCATTCTGTGTTACATTCTATGTTACTTCTAAAGAAAATATTTCTGAGCAATTAAAGCAAGGTAGGGTGGGCCCTTGTTCATGACAATTCCTTGATGCTCAACAACCTTTGTTCTTTGCTTTTTTCTAAATCTTGCTTGAATTTGTTGAGGCAGACATTCCAAGAGTAATGAATATTAATTATAGGTAAGGAATGTAAAATATAATAAAACTAAATGTGCCAACATATAAGAGACCATGGGCCAAGCTTTTTCTAGCCTAGATGGCTTGGGAAGATACTCTGTTTTCATATTTCTGTTTACTACCTGAATCCAGTTTCCTCATGAATAAGCTTTAAGAGTCACCTACAGGTGACTGATTCCCAGCAGAGGTTGTAATGAATATTGGCAAAGGGCCTTTGGCCTCTCCCCAGCCTCTTCTAAATCCACTTGGTTTTTTATTCTCTAAATATAATCAGACAGACCCAGGGTTGCACAGAGGGGACCTCTCTTCATTGCACTATGTCCCCGGGGGCTAGAGCACCCGGCTGGCAGGTCGTTGGCCTCCAGTTAGTGTTTGCTCTCACCTGACATACGGCAATATCCAGGTCTCAGGATTGGCAGATGTTCTCAGCCAGCGGTACCATCACTCCATGGAACAGATAAGTCCCCCAGAGATAGAAAATAACGTGAAGGGGTGGCCGTGCCCAGAACACACGGGGATGGAGGACCATTAGCACCAGCCCATGTTCTTCAGAATCCGATAAGGGGACTGGGCGAGATCCATCCAGCCTGCGGGTGGAATTAGTGCTTGCCCAGGGATCCCAAGTGAGGTCTCTTCCAGGTGAGGTGAAGAGCAGAAGCCCATCCCATGACCTCCCTCACAAGGCCCTGTTACCTTGTCAGATGAGGGCCTCTTAAGGAACTGTCGGCATAGTCCAGGAAGCTGGGCCTAGTATGGCCTACGTTGTGAAAAACTGTTATCTTGCTCTAATGAGAAATTTCTCTGAAATGCTGTTCTTCAAAGCCTGAAATTACCTTGGCAAAGCAGGCAGCCCATCTATACCAACACCCACCGCGAGAGGGCGCGCCACCACAGCTGATGCCTGCGGACTGCCCTTGCCACCGGGTTTGAAGCCGCTTTGGAGCAGGTTTGAAGGCGGTTTGAAGCCAGTCCAACTGGCTTAAGGAAAGTAGCAGCTGCAGCCAGAGCAGGCAGAGAGCAAAGGGAGCTTGAATTGCCACTTCTGGCCTGGATTCCTTGGCACCAACTACAGTGTCTCATCCTTCACTGTCCTGCCACACAGTAACCTTCTACTGTAGGTTTGTGGAAATGAATTGAATTCAGTTCAGCCTGAAAAGATCTGGAAAGTTACTAAAGCACCACTGTGTGTCTCCTCTTATTTGGGAGCAGGGCAAGACCAGCGGCTTAGACAAAGTTGTGGATGAGTTGAGCAGAGGCTGTCTGCTTCCAGCTGCCTGCCTTCTTGAGTTGTGGCCAGGGTGGTCTGTGCTGGGTACCTCAGTGGCCAGCAGGCAGCTCCCAGAAGAACAGCGGTACCTCAGGGCCTTGGTACCTCTAGCCAGCCCTGGTCTGCGTCTTGGTATGCTCCATGGACTCTTTACCCTGAGGATTTACACGGGAGACTCCTGTACGATCTAAGAAGGCAGACAAGTAAAAGTTGGTATTTGTATTCACGCCATCCCTCCTTCCATCCTAGTCTGTTTGGGAGTTGCTTGTCCTACGCTGTTCTTACTCTGAGACAACTTCAGCAGTTGGTTGGGGCAGGTGGGAGGAGGCATCAGGAGACTTGGCAAGCTTCTCCTAGTAGGTCTGTCAACCCCAGGAGGAACAGGAGGACTCCTAGTGGTTCAAGACCAGCCTGAGCAAGAGCAAGACCCCCAACTCTACTAAAAATAGAAAAAACTGGCCAGGTGTTGTGACAGTCACTTGTAGTCCCAGTTACTTGGGGAGATCATGCAAGAGAATCGCTTGAGCCCAGGAGTTTGAGGTTTAAAGTTGCTGTGATGCCATGACACTCTACCAGGGGCAAGAAAGTGAGACTCTGTCTCAAAACAAAAAAAAAATTGTTTGTGAACAAAGAATATTAGGACTAAATGGGTGGTTCATTTTATTATCTAATGTTGAATCTTCTTGATTCAAAGAAGATGCAGCAAAAGTGATTTGAGTTTATTTTTCAGTGTGGAAATAATACATATCACATGTGATACCATATGGGTGCAATAATTTGGTGATCAAAATACACACATGCATACACACATGCGCACACACATGCACATTTTCACAGAGCACCTAGCTATACAATTAAATCACCCACACCAGAGCCAGTACCCCATCAAAGCTCAACATCTCCATCTTCAATCTAAGCCCTCCAGACCTGTCTTTCCCCACTCTTGGAATCCTTGAATACACATAAGCCACACAGAAAAGTGAAGGTCTTGTCCTACCACCTGTCTCTGTAGGTGATTTATTTCCAGTCTCACCCCCACAACAGAACTGTGCTGGGAGGTGAGCAGGATAATCCCATCAGAAACTCCCCTCGGGTAACCTCTGGGCCTTACTCCCAGGCAATCTGGCAGTTGGGGAATCAACCGGGTGATTGTCTGCATCTGAAAAGTGTGCACTCTGCTGAGGGACTACAATGTGGGGATGAGAAAACCCTTTGAAATGCTCTTCTTGGGGGACCACAAAGCCACATGCTTTAATAATAATACCACAGTCACTCAAAGTATTAAAATTCCTCTTGGAATTGCCAACAGAATCCCCCTCCATATAATCCAAATAATGTCATCTTCTTGGAAAGAACCTAATTTACCATGATCATTTATTTCTCACCCAAGGACACTGAGATGCCCTGGACATTAAGAAACCTGTTCATGGTTCTCGGCCAGTAGACAATCTAATACATAACCACACAAGAGAAAAACTCAATTAAATTCAAGATGAGAGGAGGAGGAAAGAGAGAGGGAGAGGGAAGAAGGGAGGGAACTGGTGCTCCCACTTAATGGGCACAATTTGGGGGTGAATGGCTCACCTTCTGGGGACAGGACACAAAACAGGATTATACCTAACAAATGCAAACATCATAACCTAATTCTTTGTACCCTCAGATTTACCTGACATTTAAAAAATTTTTTTATTTTTTTGAGACAGAGTCTCACTTTGTTGCCCTTGGTAGAGTGCCATGGCATCATAGCTCACAGCAACCTAAGTCTCTTGGGCTTCAGCATTTCTCTTGCCTCCCCTCCCTAGTAGCTAGGACTACAGGTACCTGCCACAACACCCAGTTTATTTTTAGAGATGAGGTCTCACACGTGCTCAAGCTGATCTTGAACTCCTTAACTCAGGCAATCCACCTGCCTCAGCCTCCCAGAGTGCTAGGATTATAGGCGTGAGCTCCACACCTGGCCAAAAAAAAAAAAAAAAAAAAAAAAGAAAGGTATTTAAAAAAACAGAGAGAGAAACCTGCTCATGGTTCTCAGTTGCCTCCCTTACTCTAGAGAGAAGCAGATTCTGCCAGCTGAAGAAGACAGTTCTCAGAATGGCTGGAGGCCAGGGTTCCACCCAAGGCATTCTGATTATGTATTAGATCAACCACAGGTTACCATACAAGTGACTTCACCAGATGCTCAGTCTCATGTCTCACCTGCAGGCTCTGAGAATGCACACAGAAAAGCAGCCTGCCTCACTCACAGGCTGTGGAGGAGGTTTGGTAGTCACTGTGGCTTCCCTGGGATGATATGAGATCATCAACACAGCACAGGGCTCTGGGAAGAAGGGAGGAGGACTGGGGCTCCCACTTAATGGGCACAATGTAGGGGTGTATGGCTCACCTCCTGGGACAGGACACAACAGGATTATACCTAACAAATGTAAACATTGTAACCTAATTCTTTGTACCCTCAAATTAACCTGACATTTTAAAAAAACTTTTATTTTTAAGACAGAGCTCAGATTAGGTCTGCCCAGCATTTGGGTGCACAAGAATTCAGGTGTTAAAGTCCCCGCATCCTGGGCATGTCCTGAAGGCAGGCCAGCAACACCAATTCTGCCAGCTGCTTGGTGCCTACTAAATGCTTTCTCCACTCC